ATCAATTTTCGTAGCGTCTTTGGATCAAAATACTGTAATTAGTAACCATGTTTTCTCATTGAAAGTCATTGAATATCAGCAAGTAGGAACTCTTCAATTGGGAAGTTAAGTACGGTCTGGTTTCCTTCCGCGGAAATTAAAAAGAAATCTTTTATAGAATGTTTTTTTCCTGTCGTCGCCATTGGAGTGAAAATGATGTGAAATCAATAGTGACTTGATGTATTAGACTATAGATATATCATCCAGTCTTATGGTCACATGGCATCAAGCTATCGCAGAATTAGGACAAGAGACTAGCTCACATGCTTTCCGCGAATTAGCCATGCAAGCTTGGCACAGGTGTAATAAATACAACGTAAATTAGATATGTGTACTCTTTGAAAGGGATGCTTAATTGACAAACCTAAATACCAAATAAACATTATTAGATATGTGTACTCTCTGAAAGGGATTTCATTTTGACACACCTAAATACCAAATAAACATTATTAGCTATGTGAACTATATTGAATAGTTGACAAACCCAGCTTCTTAATGGCATCAAGTGTTCCAGAAGAATGAACAAGAATTTTCAATGAAATTGTATGTAAACCATTGATAATTGTTAAAGTCAAGTAAATTATTTATTTATTGATGAAAAATTAATTATTTGCTTTGTTTTATGAATGGAGATGAAACTGTAGTATATTCTGAATGAATAAACCAAGTTCTAACGATCTGAACCGAGAAACGAAACCTTGAATGCAAACAACATATTGCTAAGAAGTATATCGATCATATGTAAATAATGAAAAGTGGTATCAGGTGTCTAGAAGAGTAAGCATATCCTGCCTGTCACAACCCCTCACATGAGGAAGTATTTTATAATGAAAAGTGGTATCAGGTGTCTAGAAGAGTAAGCATAACCTGCCTGTCACAACCGCTCACATGAGGAAGTATATCAATCATAAGTGAATAAGTATTTTATAATGAAAAGTGGCATCAGGTGTCTAGAAGAGTAAGCATAACCATTACCCTGCCTGGTGAAAGAAGAACAATGTACTGACTCTTTATCAGTACAGCTAAACCTGGGAATTCTTTTCTTCTCCTGGAAAGTAACAATATGAATTGAGTTAGTCAATTCTTACTCTATTACTCAATTATAATCTGTATATCTGTTTCCATGGTAATATAAATTTCTTGACTTTAATCTGGGAAACTTGGACCAGAAAATTGGTTTTTAATACAACTACGTAGTATTTCTTAAATTGCTTTTAAGAATCTGATACCAATTTCGCTTTCTTGTTTCCAATCATTTGATCATTATTTGTGGGAATTTAATTTTGTAGATTTTTTAGATCACCTAAAGCAACTGTAAAAAGGTTTTCTGAATTTTAGTTTTATCAGGGACAATGATAGTATCAATTTGCATCAGTCCAATTTTCAATCAGACATCTGTGGTTCTGGCAATTCCTCTTAAACTGATGATGTCAGTAATCGCAAAGAGCTTTATGTGATACGTGCAAATTTTGCGATTAGTGAGATCATCAAACACTTTTTTTTTATGGCATTGCAGGAATCACAGACGTCTGACTGAAAATTGGAATTGATGCTAGCAATGTCCCTGATACACATAAAAAATTTAGAAAACCTCTTAACAATCTCCTTTGATTCATGATTTTAAGCCTTCATGGCTGATTCCTTGAGAATCTAGTCTAACAAATTTATAAAGTTCCATGGAACTGAAAGAGATTGTCTTAACCGTAATGTTTGATTTCTTTTGAGGAGTCTATCGCTTGAGCAAAATGGCACTTTTGGGACAAGTATATTTTTTTTTTTTGTTGTTTAAGTTTGGAGAATTAAACGAAAAGTAATTTCCCAAAAGAGTAGTATCTCCCAAACTTTTGTGCTAGAGTAAGCATGTCGCTGAAGTGTTTTCAGTCAGTTTTGAGAAACAGTTTGTTGTGTGTTTATAAGGTTTTATCATTCAGTGAAGTTTACTATTTGCATGTTTTCACCTTATTTCATGTTTTTTGTGTTTTATCATTAATTGTGAATGTTTCCAAACAATAATATTAAATAATTTGATTCAATTTGTTTGGAATTTCAATCTCTTTCTCTAAAAACTATACTTGAAATTTCTGTTTCAATGATTTCATTTCGTTTCACAGTTTTTGTTTTGGTCATTAATTGTGAATGTTTCCAAACAAAGGTATGATATAATTTGATTCAATTTGTTTCGAATTTCAATATCTTTCTCTAACTTGATTTCTCTGTTTTCTGTTTCAATGTTTTTATTTCATGTTTTCTGTTTCGTGTCATTAATTCTGTATACTTCCCAACAATAGGTCTCTACTTCCTGTTTTGTTGTGTTTTGATCTGATATGCTTTGAATATCTGTTTTTCCGATAATGAAATTCTGATTTTTACTTAAAGAGATTGATTCTCTATCATCTGAGCTGTAGCGTTAATATTTTATTGTCCAGGCTTCGATGAGTTTAAATAATAACTAGTCTGTAATGAAACATGCTGATTTTAATTGAGTTCCATCAAATTTGTGGTCTGTTTTTGATGAAAGCAAAGTTTTGCGTGGTTCTGTCTCGTACCTAACTGGAGTTATCGGACATAAAATAAAGTTGTTTTCTTCTTTTGATGAAATGAAGTTGTTCTGCTCCTTTGATGAAATAAAAAGTTTTAGGTCCTACATTTCTACTCCTAATCAGACAAATGAAATGGAGTTTTCTTGCTTTTCTGCCCTCTGAATGAAGATTTTTCTTACAGATGTATTAAACTGAATAGATTTGGAAACAATATAACCTCCCTTGGTTTTACAGCCTATTAAACACAGAAACTAAAGAACAACTCGCTCCCTCTGGGGTTTAAAATCAGCCAATGATATTTAGCCATCAGCTTATCGAGTGGTAGATGACCTTTCTATCTGTAGTCATAATGATATAGAATATAGCAGATTATATCCTCGTTAGCTTTCATTAATTATTTAATACCTTCCCACCTACACAATACATTCGCTGATATTTACAGCAGGCCTCATAAAACCCTGTACGTAACTATCGTGTGTGACCAGCTAGCAGATTGTTATTAGATGGCAGTTAGACACCATTGTTCTAGACTATCAAGTCCAATTAGCTAGCAGATTGTTACACAATAGCATTGAGCTACCATTGATCTAAACTATCATGTCACATATACTCGAAACAATCTTAGCACTAGGATGTACTAGAATGAATGTGAGAAGATAAG